ATATTACACGAGGTTTTTTTTTTGCAGATATATTTTATTTTTTCGAAAAAAAAACGAAATATCATTTTAATTTCAAAAGTGTTAAATAAATAAAATTGAAACAACTAAAATTGGTACAATAATCTCGAGTTGGTAACAATGTTCTACAGTAAACTTACTGTGTAATGAAGCTATTATCTTTTCCTAATCTGAGTCAGGTTTTCATATACATACTCTCATATATATATATATATAAGAGAACGTTGCTGAGATTTTATAATATCCAATTTGGGGGCAAATGATAAGAACTGCGATGTTTTAACAGGCGTTCATAACTTTCGATTTTTCTTGGCTTTTAATTATTTCATCCTACCGCTTCGCAACGAGGAATGCTAAGCAGTTTCATTATTCGCTTGCTGATTCCCATTAGACCGCCGCCGGTTTTTCTCCCGGTTTCGTTATCCGGTGTGGACAGAATGTAAATGAGCTGACTGGCTGTGGAGAGCAATTTTCGACCGGGGAACACTTCGGACTTGAATTAACGGAAGCGGCTCAAATTTTGACCCTTAACGAATTTGAACTTCACTGCCACTTTAAAACCACTTTCTGTGTAATTATCCTCTCCCTTTATTTCAAATAGATACGTCTTTTCTTTAAAAAAAAAAAAAAAAAAAATTTCCTTTACAAATTAATTTCAATTATTGATACAATATATCAATTTAAAATTAAAAATTTCTTTATTATTTAGTCCTTAAAATAATAATTACTTTTCCTATATTTTTCTTCATATATATTATTTATATTCTAAATTTTCGAAAGTTATGCGAGAAAAAAATATTTATATTATGAAATGAAACTGGTTTGAAATTCGATTTATAATGAATTGTCGATGTTTACACTGATATTGTGGGTGATTTTTCAATCGATTGACTCTATCGAGCCAATAGCTTCGGGCGGTAACAATTTTATTAGATTTTCTTCAATTGACTCTATATTAAATTTAAAGGAATCTCTTGGGAGCAGCCTCTCTTCCTTACGGGTTTCAGCCCTTCTGCTATATAGTTTCAGTTCTTCCATGGTCGCATCTTTGGCGAGTCCCTTGGGATGAGAACATGTTGAATGGCTTGGCCGACTATACACACATAGTAAGTGCAACGATGGCACCAAATGCAAACCCCTCTCTCACCCCTTCGTTGAAACCATCTTCAGGTCAGAACGGGTCATTCGCCTAAGACAAGTAGCTATTAACCTAAGGGTTACTCTCTAAATGGAACTCTACTAAATATAACAATTTAACACTCTAAATCTCGTTTTGCACAAAACTGAAAAATTGTTTCAATAATTTTTTTTTAAATTTATTTCTTCAATAAATATAATTTTAATTTTTCTCTCAATTTCAGAAAAAAAGCTCATAAAATAAGTTGAAAAAAAAACTTTCTACAGTTAATAAAATCAAAAAAAAATTTTATAAACCTAATAAAACAAAGCATATCACGTATATATAATCATTATTAAATATTATACTCATGCGAGTGTAAAACGACGATATAAATCGTGATGATTTGCGAAAATCCAATTATATACTAGTAACCGACAATTCTATAGATATACATATATATATAAACGCCGAGTGATACATTTATGTCGAGTGATAATATCGTAACTATTGTCATGAAAGGTAAATTTTCTCGCAGTTCAATTTTATGATCAGAGTATATTGAAAAAAAATGAAGCGACGATCGATTTCAGTATTATTTTTTTTTTTTTCGATGTGTAACAATCGAAAATTGAATTATATTGGTGTATCATTCGGCTTTTGTTTTCGTAAGCGTTTGATCGCTATCCTTGCGAAACTCGTGAGAATCCAACAGTCAGAAATTCCCAGACGCATTGGAAAAATTCTCACGTTGTATAATCTCATTGATTTTCTACCTGCGGTCCACACATAATAAGAGAAATAGAATTCTTTTCCTTTATATATATATGGAGAGAGAGAGAGAAACGATAAAATATATAAGGGTTTGGTGGGGAATCTTCAATTAAAAGTTTTTCTCCACTTGGAAAACAACAAGCCATGAGGGATATCCCACGTCATTTTGTGTACAAGAAAAGGGAGGGATTTTCTTATCACAGACGTTATAAGAAGCGTTAATAGCTTCCTCTGTACTCTTCAACTATCTCTCTTCAGTTGAGTTCTTTTGTTAATGTGTAGAATGAACTTTTGTTTCACAATTTGTTAAACTTTTCTTTTTCTTTACTTTCAAGAAAATTTCCCTACCAGGGCCCTAGTAGCAAAAGTTACTATAGCAATAGTTACTATGGCAAAAGTTACTAGGGCAAAAGTTACTAGGGCAACAGTTAGTTACTAGGGCAACAGTTACTTACTATGGCAAAAGTTACTATGGCAAAAGTTACTATGGCAAAAGTTACTAGGGCAAAAGTTACTAGGGGAACAGTTAGTTACTATGGTAATAGATACTTTGGCAAAAGTTACTATGGGAAAAGTTAGTTACTAGGGCAAGAGTTATTATGAAAATAGTTACTATGGCAACCGTTACTGTGGCAACAGTTACTTACTATGGCAAAAGTTACTATGGCAAAAGTTACTATGGCAAAAGTTACTATGGCAAAAGTTACTATGGCAAAAGTTACTATGGCAAAAGTTACTAGGGCAACAGTTAGTTACTAGGGCAACAGTTACTTACTGTGGCAAAAGTTACTATGGCAAAAGTTACTATGGCAAAAGTTACTAGGGCAAAAGTTACTAGGGGAACAGTTAGTTACTATGGTAATAGATACTTTGGCAAAAGTTACTATGGGAAAAGTTAGTTACTAGGGCAAGAGTTATTATGAAAATAGTTACTATGGCAACCGTTACTGTGGCAACAGTTACTTACTATGGCAAAAGTTACTATATCAATAGTTACTTACTATGGCAATAGTTACTATGGCAAAAGTTACTATGGCAAAAGTTACTAGGGCAAAAGTTACTAGGGCAACAGTTAGTTACAATGGCAACAGTTACTATGGCAATAGATACTTTGGCAAATGTTACTATGGGAAAAGTTAGTTACTAGGGCAAGAGTTATTATGGAAATAGTTAATATGGCAACCGTTATTGTGGCAACAGTTACTTACTATGGCAAAAGTTACTATGGCAACAGTTACTATGGCAATAGTTACTATGACAATAGTTACTATGACAATAGTTGATTTCTAAAGCAACCGTTGTTATGACAGCGATTACCATGACAACAGTTACCATGGCAAGAAATAAATAATTTATGATATTCTAATAAATTTTGATCTGAATTAAAAAAGCCACGAAACCCTAGATGTAAGCGCTTTGCGCCTCCTTTTTTTCCTAATTTTTCTAATTATATTTTGATAAATTTTTTATCCATCACAATATTACCCTTTTAACTTTGTACCATACAATGACTTTTACCCTCACTAACTTTTCACCATTTGTTTTTTCTATTAACAGAATTTGCATGTGGTGGAATAAAAGTCAGAAGAAATTGTTCTGTATTGGTAAATGAATAGGAGGGAAGAAACAAGAGGATGAAATGATCATGGGGCACGTTGCTTCTTTTCATCGCTGCGGACGGGGTTCGATGTGCGGGGAGAACTATTAGAATGTATTATGCATGCGAAATGGCGTGGTTTCCTCGAAATCACTGGTACCGCGCCGCTCCCGGATGAAGGAGTTTTGCGGTGACGGCGTGGAAGTCTGCCAACCTTTGGTGGGTAGTCTTTTAGCGGCTGAAGCAATGTTCCGATGGGATCTAAAATATTGAAGAAATTATATCGTCTGAAAGTCCCGCGATCGCTTAAATAATCATGAGCAATGAGCATTTTGCAGCAAGGTCTCGCGCATCTTGCGATGCGAGAAAAATCTTTGCCAAGAAACAAGAAAAACTACTTCCTTACACCATAATAATAACGATCATAATAAAAATAACAATCATCATCATCATAATCACAGGATGAAAAATTGATAAATGAGATAAATTTTGACAAATTATATGGACAAGTTAAATGCTTGTCAAAAAAATAGTAATTTTATGTAAATGAAGAGCACAAAATAAATTGATGATTAAAATGAAATGAATCTAAAATAAATTGTCACCTTTTGTAAATTCAATTACAAAAGACCATTTTTTGAAAGTTTTTTTTTTGACACGAGAATAAATTAAAAGCTTGGAAGAGGTCCAGTAATAGTAGAAAATTAAAATCTGGAGCTTATCCAATGAGATGAAGTTTAAATAATTAATCCACTTTAGAATTTTCTCGTGAACTATAAGTTTGACGAAAAAATGGATATGATTTTTGAAATTTAGAATCAAAAAAATATGAATATAAAGAAAAGTAATCTGAGTCTATGAAAAACAGCAATAATTTTAAATAGTAAAAAAAAATTTAGATAGTAAAAGATTGTTTCAATTGCTCAATAATATGTAAATTCTTAAAAAAAAATTATTAGTAGTAAAAGTCTGTTTCGGTCAGACAGAACGTTAATTATATTTCTGCAATAATGTTTTCAGTAGTAAACTATAGATTTAGTCATACAAAATAGTTCATGTTATTTAAATCTTTAAATTAGTAAAAAAAAAGATTTAGTCAGAAAAAAATTAATCTAAAATAAATTCGCAAAATTTTTACAGTTGAATCATGTAAAAAATTAAAATTTATCTTTTTCAACTAAAAATTTTTAATATACTTTATAATTGCTTAAAAATATGTTTATTTAATTTTATTTGTATAAAATAAACATGTGTTTTAAAAATTTTTACTCTTTAAAAATTCTAGTCAATTGTTGACTAAAAAAAAACATGTGTTTCGAAATAAAAATGCATATATTAGTTAATCTATATTTGGTATATCACCATATATATTGTTTCAAGTGTTGTTTTTCTTTGTATTACTGAGCAATTTCATCATCATATTAACTTATTCTACGTTTATATATATATTTATCCAACCTTGTAATTTAATAAAAAAAAATGTTAATATTTACTATTTAATATTGCGTTACAATTTATTAATAATAAGATAAAAAAAATATATAAAAGTCAACTTTTGAAAAATAGTTGTCAGTTTCAGTTTGGAGTAATTCATTTAAAAATATGCAGGTATGTTAAAAGTTAAATAATTTTAAGTCTTGAGAAAAATTCCAAAAAAATACAAATATATAAAATATACCTAAAACAAGAGGATAATAATTTTGATTAAATTTTTCAGCGTCGAATCATGGCTGCATTAAATTTGCAAGTTATTTATGTTGTTACATTGTGCATTTGCATTAATGCTGATAATTTATTAAACCAAGAACAAGAATCGAGAGATAATGAAATTGAAAGACTCAGAAAAGAGGGAATGGATGAGCCAGAATTGTTCTATGACTTAATGCATACAAAAAATTTTCATAGAAATTGTTCTCATTTAAATGTTACAGAAATATGTAATAAAATGAAGGCTCTTTACAAACTGAACATTACCAGCAATCATAAAAGTGATTATAATTTTATGGTTGATTGTTCTGGGTTTTATGGATTATATAACGATGTTTATAAATTGTTTTCTGAATCTAATTTTGAAGATTATTTTGCATTTCGAAGATACGTTTATTATAAGTCCGGTACTGATGTAGATGAAGAAAGAAGAATGAAGAATGCTGCTTACAGACAAGCAATTATACAATCCAGCAAGGCAAATAACATTTGTGATAATAAATTATATTTAATATTAAAAAAGCCCACAATGTGGTATGAAAGGAAATTTAGTATCGATAAAACGGAATATGAATTGGATGATTTTACTTTAGGAATGCAATACCTAGAATCAGAATATAATTACAGATCACGTAGAAAAAGAGAGAGTACATATACCACAGCATTCTTTGAATTTGATTTACCAAATCCATATTTGTGTGTTAATTTTCATAATCTTCGTCAATATTCCTACAGAGAATCATATACATATATGCTACCGGAAACTAAATTTTTCATTAATGATACGTATTGGGAAGACAGTACTGTTATAGGTTTAAGACTAAAATTAATGCAGAATGATGAAAAAATGACTATATTTGAGCAACAGAAGAAAGTGATGAGAAAATTAAAAAAGTTGAAAGAATCTGATACCAAATTTTATATAGATTGTTAAATTTTTTTTTTATATTCTGTTTATTTTTTTCAAATATTTTATTGTAAGTATAACCCACTTAATTATTATTATTATTAGTACTCGTGAAAATTGAATTTATTTGTAGATAAAAAATAAAATATATATATTTCATTAAAATTTGTTAATCTATAAAAGTATTGTATTAATTTTCATAAATTAAACTACAATTTATAGAATTGAATAAAATATTATATTTATATTTTATATTAATAATAAAATCTTGCAATTAAATAATATGTCCCCGGCACTTAATACAAAAACCCCAAAAGTACTTTGGAGTAAGATTAAGTAATTTATCCGCCCTATAAATCATACCGTAAGGAAGAAATTATTCAAGTTATGTGACACCATGGTTGTAAAGTTTACTGAAGGTATTATGTGGGATTAAAGGGTTGATACGAGTGACCTTACAGTCTAGGAATGAAGATAGACGCATTTTAATGATTATAACACTCGTAAAATATATTTGTTTCAATTTTCGTCGTCAGCAATGTTATAATGTCAGTGTGTGAACGTGACGTTTAATATGTGTAAAGGCAATGGACGCGTGTGGGTTTTAGAGAGAAGATTCTGAACGACGAGTTTATGAGTTGTTAAGTGCAGATGTTTCGTGTGCGTCGAAAATTCCTTGCCCTCTTGGTCTTTCGATAAAACTGAAACGAGGCGTTGAAATACCATGATAAACTGTCCGGCGACCCGACGCTAACGCGTTTTCTTCGCATCGTCTCCCGCACTACGTCAACTTTTCTCTCTCTCTCTCGTCTATTTTCGCCAGAATCCCTCGCTTCACGTATCATGTCGAAGAGTTTGTTCCGGTTAGCTGATATCCGTGATTTTACGTTTACACTTGACTGGAGACAAAATCAACCGGGGATCGTCCGGTATTCATCTTCAAACGAGACCTTGAACAAACTGTTCGAATATTTCACGAAAATTGAGCTCAAGGAAGGGGCTGCTGAACAAAAGAAATGGGATCTAATTTTTTCCTGTCAAATAATAAGTTCGGGTCATCATTTTTTTTTTTGCAAAGGAGTTTTTGTCACAGATTTTGAAAAATTGGGAAACAATTTTTTATTTTCTAAGCAAGCGGTAACCATTTTTTTTTTTTAATAAAGAGATTTTAGGCCAGATTTTTAATCCATCGCCACAAATAGTTTATTAGATACGACGTTTCGGCAGCTGCCGCTACCCTCATCAAGTATTACATTAAGTAATTATACACTAAAAATGACAAGTTGAAAATTTTAATTAAAGTTTGAAATTAGTTTTATTTTTTACATTAAATTTGGAAAGAGCTGTACTTACGTTTAAACTGTTATATTTAAATTATAAAGTTTCATTAAGGAGGTTATGTTTAACCATCTCCTTAATGATCATTATCATTTTATTTAAAATAATGAATATTTGTATAAAAATTTTTTAAAAAGTGTATTGTTTAACTTTTTATTATCTTTGTTTTTTAAATTTTATTTTGAATTAGTCAAACTTTTTGTTTTTAAAAAAAAAGAAAGAAATATAAGGATGGTTTTATCCATTCTTATATATAGTTTGTGTAGGACTAATGAAATACCGCATTCCAGATATTAATTCTATAGAGACTGTAAAAATGCTGATAATGTAGAACATCTCATTATCAATTTATTGTACATTATTCAAAAAACCTTGGTAGATATTTCCTAACTTTTTAATATCAGTTTTAAAATTTATTGATTTTTTTTCTTTTGCTATATATAGCATTTCAAGAAATTTTCTTTTATAATAGTTCTGTTCTGTGTTCAAGATTGTTACGTTATTAAAATCAAAGTAATGGTTGTTTTCAGTTGCATGAGTAGCTAGAGCTGTGTTTGTTTTTTTATTTTTAATATCTCTAGCGTGTTCTGTTAATCTAGTTTGTAAATATCTTAATGATTCACCAATGTATATACTGCCACATTGGCATGGTATTCTGTATATGGTATTAATTTGTCGTTTCTTTTCTATTTTCGAGGATTACGAATTCAATGTCAATTTTTCATAATGGATCCAATATGGCGGTTGAAAATTTTGTCCGACATTTTGAATTTTGAAAAACCAACATCAGATTCGTAATCAGCTATTTGGATCGATCAATGTTAAAAGAATTGATTAGAACATTAAATATTTTATCATTAAAAGAAGAAAATTACAAATTTGGGTATTATTTTCTCTTGAGGATTTACATATGATGAACATTCAGTTGCGATAAGGAGACACCTCATGCAGATATCCGGAAAAGCATCAGGAATCGCGCGACTCTGAATTTGGCATCGAGACTCGACATCTGCAGGATGTCTGTTGGAAGAATGGGTAACCGGTAATTGGGGATTCAATGTAAGGTAAATAGTCGTACATGTAGACACAAGGGCCATGTGCTACGAGTTCCCCGGGTCTAGTTTCATTCTCTTCCGGCAAACGACCCTTCTCCATTTTCTCTCTCTCTCTCTTCGGTTATTGGTAAAGGGCCAAGAAACCTCAATCCGCTTCAGAAGCCAAACTCTTAAGTCCGATTCAGATGGATTCAGATGCTTGATTCGAAATCAAGCCTCGCGCAGAGAGTCCATGATTCATCATCTTGAGGGTTCTTGAGGGATAATTAATCTTAACAGAAATTCTGTTGCGGAAAAATAATTGTATAATTAAAATTCCATTAAAAGAGAATAAAATAAAGAATTGCGTCTAAGAGGTTTGAACATACAAAAATTAATGATAATTTATAGGAGAAGAAGCAAAAGTCGTAAATTCATGGGGAAAAATACAATCTAACAGTTTCCAATGTGCAGTTGTACTTTTCTGAAAAGGTACGGCATTAAATCAATCAGAAGGGTCGGAACGTAATCTTCGTTGGACACATGGGACTGTGGAAAGGGATTGTGGGTGAGGCAGAGAGTCAGCGCTATCGTATGCAATTTATTCGCATCTCCTACCAGAATAACCATCGTCGCTGGTATAGTATATACCATACCACTATCACCACCACCACCATCACTGTGTCCTGGTGGATGGAAGTAGCTACTGCGGCCGGATCTGCCGCCCCATTTCGCGGTCCAGTGACGCCCAGGAATTCGCCAATTGGATTTTCTCTGCTTGCCTTTCTAGAGCTTGCTGTTAGATGATGCAGAAGGTGTCGGCATAGGTTATCATTCGAGAAAGAGAGAGAGAGAGGAGAGACGACGATCCAAGGGATCTTGAATCAAGCCTGAGTGACAATTTCGACATACTATCGACTTTCTCTTTCCATCTTCACAATATAATTTATTCTCAATCACATCTCTCTGTGTAAATTCCGACGAATCAAGAAATGACGATTGTCGAGTGCACTTACACTGTTCAAATTCAAACATGGAATTTCAATTCCCGTATTGCACTCAGCTTTTTGAGTTCACGCAAATGTTATCAAGAATCAGGTAAATTGTCCGAAAAGCTGCTTATAGACATATATATAATATTGTTAAAGTTGGAGAAATTTCTTTTCTGAATTTTCATTAGAAGCACATGAAAACATATGAAAAGTTACGAAAAACACCTTGAAGTAAAGATGTTTATACAATTACTAATATTATTTTTAAAATAAGTAAAGTGATTCGTTTTCGATTCCCTGGATGAGCTGTTAAATCACAGGGCATACGAAAAGCAGGGAGATTTTTTTTTTATTAGAATCGCGGTGATGGAACTTTTTTTTTTTATTACTCCTGCAGCCTTGTAACGGGAGGGGAAAAAAAAGCGGCAAATATTTAACCCGCGATAACATCGGGAGTCGTGTGGCGGGAAACCCAGGATGGTGGTTAACGCAAGCGAGCTCAGCGCCCCGAGGCGAGCTTTTTACAGCCTTGCAAACCCTCCGCACATTGGGACTAAAATAAGGCTCGGCATGTGTGTTGCGTGTGTATATATATAAGGCTGCTGCATATGAATCGCTCGGAAACAGCAGGAAATTAAATGGTCGTGACTGTAGGAAAATAAAGGTTGTCTTATCGATGTACCTGTGGATGTTAATTGGGAGTTATTGCTTGCCGTTGCAGTATCTATAATATATGTGTTTGTATATATATATTTGTATTTGCATCTGCATCAGGCGTTGAGTTTGCTTTGCTATTTGTCAATAACATATGTATACACGCTGTCCTCATTATTGTAAATTATCGCGATCGTTTTGGCTATTTCATTGTCAAATGGCTTTGACACAAAGTTATGGAGATACGCTGTGATACTTCGCATGCAATGTATAACTATGTAAATATCAGAATCACTGATTTTTTACGATTACATCTTTCAACGAACAGATGTTAATTTTCATAATGTAAATAATAAATAAAAACTAATTAACAATTATTTCCGCATTTCTGCGCATGGACATACAGGTTATGAAACCACTCCGAACGAGCGTGCCTCGTAGATGGCGCGCAAGTAACTGCATCTGCGCAGAACACACGAAGTATTTTGCGCAAACGTGAATTTAATTCATTCCCCCTTTGCGATGAAAACAATCTTTTAGAAAACAAGAAAAAAGTATTTTAAAATTAAATTCTTTTGTAAATAAATTTTAATTTAATTTTTTTTTTCATTTGACAAATTGATGTGTGAGAGAACAGTATAGGAGAGAGTTTAATCTTGAAATTGTTAGCTCATATCAAGACGTGATGCACTGAAGAGAAAACGAAAGGTCAGTCAAGCGATTGCAACTGTTTGCGGTTACAGTAGAGCGCGAAAAAAGAGGCAAAGGGAAGTATGAGTTGAAGAAACTTAAAAGAACTTTTCAAGAGTTCACTCAGTAGAACTTGTTGAAGAAACTGTAATAAACGCTCTGAGATGTGACTCTGATATATAACCCCCCACATCAATCATAATATTTACGTTATAAAATCTAATATAAACTGAAAATAAAAAGTACTTTCACACTTTTCTTTTCGCAAAAGTTCATTAAATATTTATTCTACGTCACGTGCATTCTTTCGCAATATTTAAAAAAAAAAGAAATTTATTTCCATGTTGTATTAAAGATATTTAATCTTCTCTTTTTGTCGTCCTTTTTAATCCTTATAAAAAAAACATTTTTATTAACTGGTCAACAATATTTTTTTATTTATTTATCTAAAGTAATTTTTTTATAATTTTTAAT